ATGTCGATGACGTGGTCCAGCGAGTCAAAGAACTCATCTGAGCGCCTCTCCTCCCCAAGCACCGGCCCGGCGGTCGTCATCTGATGGGGCAGGATCCTTTTAATCCCTTGGGGACAGAAAGCAGAATGAGGTGGTGCTGCTGGAAGTCCCCAGGCTTCAAGAAGGGGCTCCCATCAGTGCTGCTAAGAAAGCAGAACTGGCTCGCCTGCAGCCGAGCACCGGGACAGGGCTACTCTCCCCACCAGGCTCCTCCAAGCTCTCTCGAGCGGTGCTTTGGGCCAGGACACTGCCTAAGTGGCACGCTGGTCCATCCAGCCCCAGCCAGGGTGGTGCCCAGCGCTGGCTGCCCAGCCCGCAGCGGGCTCTGAAGCACGAGGAAGCTGCACTGGCCCAGGAGACGCTCTGGTTGAAGAAAGGTTTTTCCTCTTAAATGAACCCTTGGGCTGAGCCCATTTCCCACGACATCCAGCCTAGGGAAGGCCCAGCAGATGCGCCTGCTGTGGTGAGGTTTTCCCCCGCCCCTGTCAAGTGTAGGTGGGGGTCAGCCCCAGAGAGCTCCAAGAACAGGGGTTTAAACCCAAACCGGGCTCAAGTGCTTTATAGCTTTAGAGCTTCCTGAGGGAGACACACGCTGTGGGTCAAGCCCTGTCCCCTTCCAGCTCTAGACAGGGCTCCCAAACCCAAACCATCCACAGGGGCTTCCTGGAGGACCCCTATGAGCCTCAGCAGCTCTTGGGCACACACGGGCTTAAGCCTCCGTGGGTCCAAAAGGAGCGGGAAGATGTCCCATACCTTTGCCTCTCTGAGGGAATCGCTGCCAAACCCCCTTGATTTTAGCCCCGCCCCCCACAGAGCGGTGAGGTCGGGGTGACACCCCCCTGCACCTCCAGTCCGAGGCCCTTGACGACCTCACGGCAGCTGAACCCGGGCAGCCCAGGACCTTCACTCCACCCCAGCGGCACTGCTCAGCGCCTGCTGCCTCCCTTCGGCAGCTCTCCCCCCCGCACGCCCGAGCCGGGGGGGTTCTGCCCACGCCCCCAGCCTGCCCCCAGCACAAGGGGGACCAGAGCTCAAAGGAAACCCCTGCAGACAGGCCCAGCAGCCCGGCTCAGGCACGGCAGCACCGATGCCCAGCAGCGCGGCTCCCTCGTCCCTCCAGCCCCA